GAAACCCCTATCTACAGTCTGCCCTGTGCTTCACTTTGTCCCTGGAGGTCTTCAGCCTGTCCCTAACCTTTGATTCGTACCCTGTACCTGTTAGGTGAGTTGGGTAGACCTAGGGATTGTGACCTGGGGTCAGCACGCAGCCAAGCCCATCTCCACCATCAGGAGCTCTGGCGAATACCGGCTGGCCCTTAGATTCCACATCCTGGGGGACCCCATGCCACCTACTCAGCATTGCAGCACCCTGCCTTGTATTAGAACTTCCAGCTTAAGCTGACTCCCACTGCCTCATTCACATAGCTGCTGTGTTCCCCTGCTGTACTCCAGCTCTGGGAGTCGTCAGCCTACACTGCTCGCACCCTTTTCTCAAAGTGTCCCTGCCAGTGTAGTGGAAAGGGTCCACAGACCTGACTCCGGTTCATACCCGTGAGTCCCGATCCATGACAGAAGATATCTCCGCCTATCAGTTCAGTGAACCTGTTGCTTTGCCCCTCAGCACTAACTCGCATCGGAAGTCGACTCTATTTTCTCCTTCTCACCCAGCATACGAAGACGTCCGATTTTGTCCATCAGCAACGCGGACACGATGTTGCCGGGTAGAACGGCCAGGGTCCCCAGGAAGCTCACGAAGTAGATCATGTAGGCGTTATTGATGTCGTCACTGAAGTCCAGCTGGCAGCCTTCTTTGCTGTGCAGGAACGTGCTGTTAACGATCCGGCTGTTGATGAATTTGTAGTCGAACAAGTCTGCAACGAGGGGGACAAAAGGTGAGGAGGACATCTACTGGTGACTCTTCTACGAGAAGATCTTCAAGGAAACCAAAATCACTGAAATCTCAGATCAAACGGAACATGTTAAATGGAGTTTCAATATTTGTTACATCTGCAGCTTTTATTTACATAATCCCATAAGTGCCAATCACTGCACTCAGTCACATGACTGGCTGACTGTCATTGGTGGAAATATCACAAATCACAGGTCAACGGAGCCACTGTGGAGGGCCAGGCCTTGCCACCACTCCCACGGATTGCGTTGGGATACATTGCTTGGCAGGTTGACAGTTGCGTCTTCCTCCGTGTATCAGGAGCACCGACGGCAGCTTCTGTATGGATGAAGCTTGCAAACGACAGTTGCCGACTTCATTCATAAATACTAGGGATGCACCAATACTAGTACTTGTGATGAGAGAGCATGGAGCCGACTTGGTCGGGAAGCTGGCTAATCAGGAAGCCGGGGCGCTGCGGCATTCTAAATGGCCGGGAAGCTGGCTTCATGCTCCCTCGTCATCTCGTGATGAGGGAGCATGGAGCCGGCCTCCCGGCCAATCAGAGAGCAGGGTGTTGCGTCGTTACACGGCGCCCGGCTTCCTGATTGGCCGGCCGGCTCCGGCTGGATACCGGAGGAAGGCTGGAGAGGCCCCGGGGGTGACAGGTCCCCATAGCAAACTTTTGTATGGGGCCCCCGTGATTGCTAGTTATGCCCCTTGCAGAGCCCACCTGAGAGTGACCCTGCAGAGCCCGCCATAGACTCTCTATAGTTGGGCTCTGCAGGGTCTCAGATGGGCTGCACACCTCTTGCCTGTGAGGGCTGTCCGCCTCCGTGGTCGTCGGGCCCCACCTCCTTATCCGTCCCCCGCCTCCTCTTCTGTCGACGGGCCCCGCCTCCTCCTACATCACTAGCTCTTAGGTCGCCGGCCCGGGCCCCCGTCTCCTCCTTCACTAAGAACGCCGGCCTCTTCAGCAGCCGCTGCTGAGCTTTGTCAGTGACAGCCAGAACCCTGATATGCCATAGCGACCCAGGCGGCCCCCACACGGCATCAGAGGGATGCCATGGCCAGGCCCCCCTGCGCCCGGGGACCCCACAGCCGCCGCCTGGGTCGCTATGGCGATTCTTACGCCATTGCCTCAGGGGCCGGGCCCCCCTTACCATCATGTCTAGAATTGTATTGTGATTGTAATGTCTTCCTTATATTGTACAGCGCTGCGCACACTGTTGGCGCTATATAAACCCCGTATAATAATGAAATGAACGAGAATCAGGTCTGCTCTGCCACACACAACGTGCCCTCGCTCTCTTTTTATCTCCTCTGTGTGGAAAGCGCGAGGAAACCATCCATGTGAGCAGATCCCTCGCGGGACTCGGCCTCAGCCGGGGGGTGACGCACATAATGTCTTACCTGTGTTGTAGAACATGGTGGAGATGAAAGTGCAGTTCTTGAAGAACGTGTTGCTGGACGTAATGTCTTCGAAGTAGCAGTCTTTGAACAAGGAGTCCTCAAATATGACAGATTTCAACTTGAGGCCAATGAACCTTACAAAGAAAGCGGAGGAGGTGTATTGATTGTCAGGCCTCAGTAGACAGGAGTCATGTACGTGTCTCAGGAAGGTTTGTAGATACAAGAATAATGTGACATCTCTGTCCTCACACTGTCCTCACACTGTCCTAGCAGCGATCTCACAACAAAATGATACTATGAAACCTCATTTCTAATCCTTTGAGACATTGTTGCAGTTTGTGGATTTAGCTTCTATCTTAAAGAGAACCAATACTTAAAATCTAAACGTAGGCTACCGAAACAAGACCTTTTTCTGGTGGATCTAAGTATGTGGATCCCCCTCCAGATGATGGAGCTCAGGTGTCTCCAGTGAAAGTTCTATTAAAGGAGAACTATGTGGCTAAGGCTTTCCCCCATAGTTCTCCTAAGCGTAACAGGAGGACACAAACTAGCGTCCTCCTCCCGTCACCCTAGGCTCAGTATATAGGGAGCTACAACTCGCGGTATACCGAGACCGCCGCAGCTGAAACCGACAATTGTGTCTGGATCCGCCCAGCTGCGTGAGTGACAGCTGGCTCCTCCTATCTAGAGGCCGAGCCAGCTGTACCCTCCCCCGTCCATTCCGCCAGTCAGCGCGGGAGGATCGGAGCGGGGGGGGAATCCAGCCCCTCCCCTTTCCCGGCAGAGAGCCGTGACAGGATCGAGAGGTGAGCGAACGCCGGTGTGTGTTCCCGATCTACTGAGCCGACCTGTGACAGTCTCATTGTCACAGGTCGGCTAGAACTATGAGGTGACTGAAAAGCCCCTCCCCCCCCTCATAGTTCTCCTTTAAAGAGAACCAATACTTAAAATCTAAACGTAGTCTACCGAAACAGGACCTTTTTCTGATGGATCTAAGTATGTGGACCCCCCCTCCAGATGATGGAGCTAAGGTGTCTCCAGTGAAAGTTCTATTAATACTCCATCAAACAAAGACATTGTAGACCAGGGGTAGCAAACCTCCGGCCCTCCAGCTGTGGTGAAACTACAAATCCCATGATGCATCTCTCTTCTGGAGTCATGTCTGTGGCTGTCAGAATCTTGCAATGCCTCGTGGAATTTGTAGTTCCACCACAGCTGGAGGGTCTGTAGGTTTGCTAACCCTGTTGTAGACAATTGTCCTCTTCCAGCCTTGTGGTCACACTTTGGAGAAGAGCTATTTCTGTTCCACTATGACTGTCCCCTGTGTACAAAGCCAGCTCCATACAGACATGGTGTGACCAGTGTGGTGGAGGAACTTGAGTGTCCTGCACAGAGCCCTGAGCTCAACCCTACTGAACACCTTTGGGATGAATTAGAACACTGATTGTAAGGCCAGGTCTTCTCATCCAACATCAGCACCTGACCTCACAAATGGACACAAACCCTCCAAATGATGGAGTTCAGGTGTCTCCAGTGAAGGTTCTGGTCATCCTCCATCATACAAAGACATTGTAGACAATTGTCCTCTTCCAGCCTTGTGGTCCCAGTTTGGTGAAGACCCTTTTATGTCCCACCATGACTGTCCCCTGTGTACAAAGCCAGCTGACTTTAACCCTACTAAACACTGACTAGGAGCTAGATCTTCTTGACCAACAACTGTACCTGACTTCACAAATGTGCATAAAGTCCTACAGACACCCTTCAAACTCTTGTGGTAACAGTTTGGTGAGGACCCATTTCTGATGTTGGATGAGAAGACCTGGCTCACACCATGACTGTCCCCTGTGTACAAAGCCGGCTCCATACAGACATGGTGTGACCAGCTTGGTGGAGGAACTCGAGTGTCCTGCACAGAGCCCTGACCTCAACCCTACTGAATGCCTCTGGGATAAAAGACAATTGTGTTCTTGCAACCTTATGGTCACAGTTTGGTGAAGACCCTTTTAAGGTAGTTTGAGTCCTTCAGTGATGCTCTAGATCAGGTTCTGAAAAGGTTATCGCCTCCTTTAACCCTCTAACTCTAGGAAAGGGTTCCTGCATGTAGTGGTTGGGGTAATTAAAAGGTTACTGGCATCTCCAGAACTAGTTGTCAAAGGGTCACTGCCTTCATTGATGCTCTACATCTGGTCATGGAAGGGTTCCTTCCCCCCAGTGCCATCCTAGATCTAGTCATAAAAGGGTTCCTACCCCCCAGTGTCATTCTAGATCTGGTCATGAAAGGGTCCCTTCCCCCCAGTGTCATTCTAGATCT